TTTCATTATGATTTATTGAGCAGACGTCTACATGTATCTCTAGATGGCCGTGATTATACATGTACTCGGACAAGATGATACAAAGATACATATTCATATTATTTGTTATAAATTCAGTTTTCAGAACATGATATTTAAGTAATATGGTGTTATAGTTTTAATTAAACAGACAAATGAGAGAGAGAGAGAGAGAGAGAGAGAGTACTATTCAGTGTTAACCCCCCCTCCTTTCAGGCTTCACCAAATGTTTGTACCTATATCAAACAAAAACTTTGAATTTTTTTTCTAAATATATCAGACAGTGAAAGTAACTTTTTTTTTTTATCAACAAATCATATCCACTTGTTTGACAGTCATACCCGTTTTTATTTTCCTGCTTCAAGTTCACACGAAGTCCACGTGCTTGTCCTGTCAATCAAAATCATTCGACACTGTGCAGGTGTGAAAGTTTCGTCACATCGAAGACGAAGTGCGAGTATTTCCAACAAGTTATAACATTTATTTTTATCATTTCTAGATTTGATTCCAACATTTGAATAATAAATTAGTAAAATACATTAGGCATTAACACTTGAATGTGAAACATACTCTCTGCCAATTTCAAATACCACCGCCGACACGTGTACATTTTGATCTACTATTGTTTTGTGACTTTTTTAGATGCATATTTGTTTTGAGACTGAAATTTTTGTTCTAAAAAAGACCGTAGCTTTTTTTTTTTAAATGTTAATTAAAATATTCTGGAAATACGGTACTGACTAAGTCACCGATTTAGGGGGAAAGGGGGGGTATTAATCATATATAAAGTTACGGTGAAGAAGGATTTTTTTCTCTATAACTATAGACTTTACATATTACAGTAGAGAAATTCTGTAGTGCATTACATTTTAAATAAATATTTCCTTTAACCACACTATCATTTTAATTCGTTCTAAAGATAATAAATAAACAGAATATCCGCAGTACTATGTATAACTCTCAGAACTAGTTCTATTATATTTTCTGTTGTAATTGAAAAAAAATACGTAATAGAAATAAATATTTTCGTAATTTTGCTGCGTAATTATTTGACTTGAATAATTATATCTCCATTAACGATTTGTCGTCTTTAACAAAACAACAAAATGTTGCAGTGCTTGAAGTATTTGCACATTGCCCTTAGTTAAATTTAATATTTCAGCATCGTTCTACATAGGTACAGAATGTGCTTGTAACAACATTTATTTTCCAGAGTAATTTAATAAATAAAATAAATAAAAATATATATCGTAGATATTTTTCCTCATGAAATAATGATTCTTCAAACACGATATGTTAGTTAATAAATTAAAAAAAACCTGTAGCTCCTTAACTTCAAAAAGATAAGTCCTTTCACTTCGGAGTTCCGAATGACAATGAAAACTGAACGATAGGTGAACGCTGAACGCAAGGTGAACGCAAAGTAAACGGAACGAAGAGCGAACGCTGAACGCTTTGTGAACGGTGAACGCGAGCGCACGGTGAACGGTGAACGCAAAACTGTGAACGGAGAGCGAACGGTGAACGCACGGTGAACGAACGGTGAACGCACGCTGAACGAACGGTGAACGAACGGTGAGCGAACGGAAAAATGGGAAAGTAGAACGTTTCAGGGACTGTAACATCTATCAGACACAATTACCAAAAGTAAATGAATGAAACATAATTTCTGAATGCAAGAGAGAGAGAGCATGCAATGTTAAATTTTTATCCAACCTTAAACCATTAAAGGAATCACAGTGGTGTGGTCCGTAATGTCATGAACCACAATGTCATAAGTAAGAAAATCTTTGATGTTCAAAAATGCTTCATCGTTTGTTAACAAATTGTGTTATTGGAGCTCCTGAGTTTATGTCAATCTGGTAAAATATGAGCTGATCGCGGTTACTAGTAGACAAGGTCATGCATGTTATTTTTGGATGTGCTGGTTGATAACATAAATTTAGTTTATGGTTGGGATAACATTCTCTTTTCTAAACATGTATTCGAGCATACATGTTTGTAGTGTGTATTGAGGTTTTTAATTGGGAAGCAGTTGTTCTATATTCGGAAATATTTATCCAATGTGAGTACAACGTTTGCATTTGAAATAATTAAACTATTATTTGTAAAGAAAATGAATTTTCCTACAGTATTATTGGTAAAGAAATACAATTTTTTTGTTTGTATATTTATTTTTCCTTGGTAATTAATATAAATTATATGCACAGATCATGCGAAAGTCTTTTTCCTAAATAGTAAAGAAATTAATTTCTGAATAAATAAATGAATTAAAGGTTTTAAAACAGAAATGTTGCCATTCATAAATAGCGAGTCTGCACTTAAATGAATTTGTTGTGCTGAAAACCTGTATTAAAAATGTAAATAGAGGGAAACTTTTAAGCTTTTTTTCTTAAATGTTGGAAGCAACGAAAAGCCCATGGTCTTATAAATTTTAGACATGAAACATACGCTCGTATTCCTGCGCTGTCCCGATCCAATTTAAATTTAATATATAGTTGAAATCCAATAAAACCAAAGGTCTTATAGTTTTCCTTTTGTAAGAAAATCCCCTGTTCCTCAGAATAGAATATGTAAGCTTAGCATTTTATATGCAGTTGTGTTATTTATGCAGTTATGTTTGCGGTATATTTAATCTAGGCTCGTAGTAGGTTTAGATTAATTGTGTTACATGATGCAAAACCGGGATAAAGCGCTTAAGACAAATGCGGGTACATCGGCCTTGATATTTAAATTGTACACAATCGGGCTTTTCATTGGGCCATAGGTATTTGTATAGTTATCATTCAGATTTAAACAAACGAACGGTATTACACTTGATTTATTGGTCAAGTTCTAATTTTTAAACTTAACTGATAAGTACTAATACAAATATAAATTAGTTATAGGGATATCAGCAGCCTTGTTTAAAGTCAGCATTTCGTAAATTTTATGGTCGTTATAATGACCTTGAGCAAATATAACCTATCATTGGATCGTATTTTGGCTGACTTGTTTCATACCAATTGTTAGGCCTTTGTTTTGTACTGAATTGACTACGAATAGTTCCGTCTACCTGATCAATACATAAGGCTCAAGGCGGGTGTGACTGGTCAACAGAGGATGTTTACTCCTCCTAGGCACCTGATCCCACCTCTGGAGTTTCCAGGGGTCCGTGTTTTATGCCCTCTTCACATATTTGTATTGTTTGTGGATTTTTTGAGATCGATCACTGTTCGTTATCTTTACCTTTTACATTACACTATTAGTTATATTTTAGTTATCATGAATGAAATAAACACAAACATTAAAATATTGCTAATAGGTAAAATTTAATATTTACGTCAATTACCAAATTTTTGAATGAACATGATTCACCTCCTTGCAGATGTTGACCCTCCCCCCCCCCTTTAAAATGCCATTTAGAAAACATGGCATATTTGATAAAATGCCATGCACCATCTATTTGTCCTTTTGATTTTGGTTGGTATATTACTTTCGATAAGTTCAAAACAATGTAAATCAGTTTCTTTAATCAGACTGAAGAAGCAATGAATGTTTAGGTTAAAAGCAGATTCAGAATATGTCACCTGTATCGGTTTGGGTATCATAATTTGATATAAAAGATGCCCGCCAGAATATTTAAGGTCTAAAAATCCAGGTCTAATGCAGCATTCGACGCAGTGTGTATAATGCAAGTTTAGTTACTTAGCTTACACGAGCCAAAGGCTCAGGGGAGTTTTTCTAGTCAAACAGTGTATGTAGTTTGTTAACGTTAAACTTCTAGACTAAATGCAACTAAACTTGCCACAAAGCATAACTTGGTGAAAGAAAATAATTAGTTTATTCAAAGGGCCATGTCACTTTCCATAGGGAGTTAATAAGAAAATAAATTATGAGTGCAGTCTGAAAAATTCCTTGTGACTTGAAGTGTGAATTCGGATTTTTTTCTGGTCTTAGGCCTGAAGTTGGGTTACAATATTGAAAAGTTTGACATGCGAATAAAAGGGGGAAATATACAAGAACAGAAGGGATACAATTAGTCATATTAATATACATCATTCCTAAAAGCTGATAACTTAAATGATTTGTACAAGTAACTATGAGTCTAGGGTGAGCCACAAGTGGGGTTACAAAGTTTGATATACAGTATATTCTGAACATCTGTAAAAATCTCAAGAGTAGAGAGACTTCATATTAATCACATTAATAAACATCCTAATGTAGTGAAATTGTTCAAATCAAGGCCCCATAGCTAGGCCATAAATGAGTTAAAGTCTGGTACTGGAAAATGTAGAAAAATACCTTTTTATGGGTAATATCTTCACCTGAAAAATAGCAAAGCCATGACAACTTGGATAGAACGTTCTATCGTTAAAATGATATTGTCCTACAGACCCGGTTTAACGATAGAATTCGTTCCGTGTATTGGCAATGTTGCAAAATAAACACGGGCGATAACTCGAACTCTGTGCATTTTCTATGAACAATCCAGAGAGTTCCGAATGTCAACATGGCGTTAAATTTGAAGCGAGGAAAAAACGTTGAGAAAATTAGTTGAATTTTAGTATTAATATGGATTATTTTTTGGGTTAAAAGGCATATACAATCTCAGAAAGGTTTGTTATGATTAATTTGGTAGTTATTTTCGGTGCAACTCCTTTTGTATTCTTCAAAATCATTTCGGAGTGGATCCACTCCGATTTGCTACATTGCAAGTATATGGGACGTGAGGGCTTGTCCCGAGACACAGTTAGATTATTCTAACTAATGACAACTCAGCTGAGCGTTTTGTCTTGTGTACCTAGAACTGGCAATGCATGAAAATGTCTATACTGTTCCTGTCCGTATGTTTACGTACATACATGTACAATGGATAGGTAGTCGGTTGGATTTACATGCAGTGATTCCAACATGGCCCATTCATTTCGGGTGCAAGAAAAATCAGAACGGATAATTTACCGTTTTAGGTCAATGAAATAATAGTTTTTTACTATTTTTAGGTCTCGATTTGGTGCCCTGGGATGTGGCCTGATAAATTTTGTCTACACTATGCATGCTACGTTATCATGATATTATCATGTGTGGTTTCACTACACGCACACAGAACAAGATCAAATGGTCTCAACATCGACAACATGAACAATGTGCTCCAAATACAAAGGCGCTCGTTAGCAAATCACAGACTGCAAACATTCAACGATTTACGTCAGGTTCTTCAAAAAATGGAAAATATATACTCATCTACAGGTATGTCAACAACAGGTAAATGAAATTGCATCCTTTTTGTTGGAAAGACCAAAAAAAAAAGCCCAAAACAAACAAAAACAACACCCCCCTCCCCCCCAAAAAAAAACAAACAAAATAATGGCAGTCAAATTAAGCACAGCACAACGTTAATGATGTACATTGAACAAGTTTTCATGAAGTCATGATGTACTGTGAAAACAATGTGTTTTTGAAGACATCTTTCTCTTCTAATATTAAAGTTGTATTGATGAGTTATTATACATTCAATGTAAAGAATGATGCCATTATTCGCTTTATCAGAGAGAAGAAAAATTTTCGTTCTTAAGTGTATATGTTTATAAATGCAATTTTTGCATTTACATCCGCGCAAGTTCAAAACAGTGCAATAAAACTTTCAATAAATTCAAGTTTGGAAATCTTGACCAAAAAAAATAATTTTTCATATATCTATATTACGGTATTTCACATTTGAAAGTTGACTCAATTCTTTGGAATATATGTACAAAATCGTTCCGATAAAAGTTGAAAATGCTCAAAATTTGATTCCAGAGGACAAACTTCAGAAAAAAGTATAATATTTCAATTTTTGTTATTACAGATAAACACAGTATTTTACGTAGTCAAGTGCGGGATAAGAGAGACGCCGTCGGTAAGTGAATTATGTTCCCGACATTTTTACAGCTTTACCAAGGATGATTTTACATATATTTTCTTTAGCGAGGGATTTGTTTTGAAACAAAACAGAAACAGATAGTTTGGCAACGGGTTTATCATATAGGTGAGAGAGGACGATCTTCAATCGATAAAAACGCATTTGACGGGTGAAAGAGTGCTTTGAAATTATTTCATATAGTTTAATCATTATGTGCCAATTTTCTAAATATTTCGTATTTTTCTTATCAAATCTTTGCGTCTACATAATTTTTTAAAGCCAGTCATAGGAATTTTGATTTTGACATGTTCTTATCCAATTACATCAGTCGTTAATAAAATTTTCACAGTGGTATGTCGATAGGAATTTTAAAAAAAGGGGATATTTGTAACCTGGAGAGATAGAAAAACTGGGTAAGAGGGAGAGAGAGAGAAAATTGACACGAAATTCGTCGTTCAAAAAACATTTTATTTGCATTATTTCTGTATTTACAACGTACGTTCTTGCACAACACCGAGCCATGTCTTCAAATTTTCAAGATGAGTAGAATTTTTTATACACTGAACAAGTACACTAACATTTTTTTAGTTTCATTTAAAACAATTTCACGATTTGAATGTGGTTATTGTGTATTTTGGCAACAAAACTAAAAGTTCCGTCGAATGGTGGTTCAGTTTATGCTTTGATAATTGTCTGAACTGAATTAATGATTGTCCTTTTTTTCTGTTCATAAGTTTATACATGTAATTGTTTATAAATTGTGTTAACCACAATCATGACGTCACATTAATTGTTTCATACATGTAACACTCTACTTATATCTCCCAGGAGTAAGAGCCTCGTCTCTACTCTCCTTATGTTTCACGGCACCAAGTCAAAAGTATCTCGCCGTGAAACTCTGGCGTGCTGGAGTTTCAGGAGTTTGTGAATTTTCTCAATATTTTCAGTTTTATATTTATATAAAAGTAATACCTATAATAAAAACAAAAGGTGTGCAACGACTTTCATGTCACCAGGGGTACCCCTCAATCAAATCGGAGTCAAATTTTAATTGATAATTTTTACTGCATACATGCAATATACTATTAATACATATTATATAAACATAATTATTGAAAGTCTATGATATTGTCGTCTTTAGTTTTCATGAGATTGCATATTCAATTAAAGAAAATGCACAATTGACATTATCATGCTTTATAGTTAATTTCTATGAAAAGGTTCCTCCTATCTATACATACTGAAATGATTTATGAGAAAAACTCGAATGAAGCAGCTACATAAAAAATGCTATAATTTAAATACAGTTACGTTGCACTGTGAATGGGGAAATGAATAATATAAATTCATTACAAGTACCAAAAATATTTGTCTCAATTGATCTCTCTTCCCCCTTCGCCTACCCAAGAAATTGATTGTTCATTGCTAAGTCAGCAGTAAAAATGACCGGTTTTGAAAGTTTTTGGTTTCTTTGGTAGTCCAAGGGGAACCTTCATGAATCTTCATTGTACATGTACTCTTTTTCGAAATCCAGAGAAATGGATTTTTTGAGTGCCAAGAGGTTTGAAAACCTTGACAAGGGGCACTGTTTAACGTCACGTCCGGCGGACTAAAATTTTAAAAATACATGAACAGTGAAAATATTCATTGCTGTGTGTGTTTACAAACAAAGTGACTTTTAAAAATTTTGTTCACCGAAATTTTACCGTAAAAATCAGTTTCGTATGAAAAATCTGAAATTGTATAAACACTTATATTTGTGAAAAGTTCATGCACCGTTTGCACATTATTGAAAATTGTACTTCGAATAATTGATAAATCAGTACATTTCAAAAGAATATGATTAACGGACGGTCACAAGATATGCATTCTGGCTGAAATTTTCCATTACCCAAGAAAACAATTCCGACTCCCATGCTTGTTTGTAACTTTAAATGTCATCTTATGACATCTCTTGTGTGTATACGTGAGTGTTTTAAATAACAAAACGTCATATATTGACGATGTGGTTAACAGAATAAGTTTGTTAGCTTCTAGCGATAATGGAAGAGTTGCTTCCTTTTAACTCTTCTCGAAATTAAAATATTTTTACCACAAATTTTTATACTTATTTTGTAAATTTCCTAAAGATTTAGAATAGAACAATGTTTTTTTTTCTCAATAGAACAGACCCATGTTCTTTTTGTTTTCCCTATAAATCATTATGTATAACATTATATGAGATCTATCAATATCATCCATCCCAAAAATTACCTAAGACAGTTATAAAAAAAAAATCGCACTGTAAATGTAAAACAAGATTACTTGCCTTAAAATCTTTCGCACTCTATAAATCAAACAGGTTTGCTTACATGGAAATAGTAAATGACACTCGGCATTCTTTACACCAAACACGGGGGGTGGGGGGGGGGGTTAAAAACTGGGCTGTAGTTCTGCTAATTTTTTTAACGTTTACGTTTCACGGGGTGTGTTCGATTTGCCAACAGTAATTTCTGAAAACGAACTGACAACACAGGTGTTCTCACATTTCTATTGTGCCATTTCTTGATAATAATTTTCATATCATATTGATACACCACTGTTGGAGAAGTAACCTTTTAAAAGAATGCCACACTAATATATATTAATCATGGCAACATCATTCATCAAAAATCAATGAATAGAATTAGTCTACTTGAATAAGAAGTTTTATTACTGTGGGCGGAGTAGCATTTTCAAAAAAGTTTCTCAGAAATTTTTATTTTTAGTAACCATGGCAACAACGTTCATCGAAATTAAAAACCGATAACCAGAATCATGTATCTCAATTTAGTCTACTTGACTGCATAGAAAGTCTATTTTAAGTTACCATTATTTTGTATCTTAGTGTAGTCTACTAGTGTACCAAGTTATATCGAAATTGAATTTAAACTGTATAGGATAGTAGCATTTTGAAAAATTGTTGACGGACGACGGACCTTTATTATTGCTCTGACCAGTAAAGCTAAAATTAGTCGTTATGAATTTTTTAAAAGCCTAAACCTTAATGATAGTTTTCTTTACTGAATTTAATTTTCACCCCTCTGCCTGGGGTTGTCTATTTGAGGGTTAGGTGTAGTTTCTTAAGATAATTTGTCAAAAAATTCCCCAGCAGTGCCTCTCGGTTAGAAAAATGAAGCTACACTGTAGCATATAACATTGCGACATTTAACTCTGGACACGACATTGTCCGGACTTTTTACTACCATTTCTAATTGTGATGTCCAAAAAAGTTTATAGTACTTCATATCTTTAAAAAAAAAGAGATGTTTGTGAGCTCAACATGAGACCATGTGATACTGCTAAGAAATCCCACCAAGTGCTATAAATTTATTTTGGACATCACAATTAGAAGTGGTAGTAAAAAGTTTAGACAATGTCGTATCCGAAGTTAATTGTCGCACTGTTATATACATATCTATGCACATGGTTGCTATAACATTTAACAAAAATAATTATATTAGGTAATTTTCCGCATGGATAATATTGATTAGATCACAGATATGTTATAAAAATGATTTTATGAAAATGCATAGGGGTCTATATCGTTCAAGGGGGGATCACTGTCCTCGAGCACCTATTGTAAATTCCAGCTTTTATCGATAATTATAATCTCATCATCAACCGCCGAAATATGGCTGAAATATTTCCGACTCGGCGTAAACAATAAATATCAATCAATCTATCGATAATTTTTTTATCGATGTTTTCTAATGATATCTATTGGAGCTATCAATTCAAATTTCACCCTGCTGCGCGTTCGATTTTGATTGAGGGTACAACGGTGACCTTAGAGTCGTTGATCTTGATGTTTTTATTTAAGCTATTAAGTTTTCGGCTTTTTGTTATAAATATTGAATATGTAAGTGCCTTAACTATTTAATTAGAAGGATATTTACTAAAATCATTTTACTAATAAATTAAAAAAAAACACAGAAGTCTCTGATAAGACTATAGCTCTACTGGTTTAGTATTTATTTGTTTGTTGCTTAACGTCCCTCTCGAGAATTTTCGCTCATATGGAGACACCACCACTTGCTGGTGGAAGGTGCAAATTTTGACCCACTCAGGGCCATTGAGTAATGAGGGATCTTTTTAGTGCCACCACCTACTGCGACACGGGACCTCGGTTTATACAGTCTCCTTCGAAGGACGTCTCCACGCCCCACAGTCGATATAAGGATCAACTCCTTACACCGCGACTCTAGAACAAACACTCTAACCACTGCGCCACTCGTGCGACAGTTTGTATTTATAACAAAGGAAAAATAGCACTTGCACTTGAAACTGCAACAGCAATAAATAGGATAATGGTCCTTGATTTAGTCTCTTTGTGGCAAGATTTATTGCAATCAAATTAAAACTGTTTGAGGAGTAGCCTTTGGGAAGTATTTCACAGATATTTCTATTTTAGTAACCATAGCATGACCGTTCATCAAAATAAAAAAAAAATGATATAAAATTATGCATCTCAGTGCAGTGTACCTGTGTGTAATGTTATAAATCGGATCAAAACTGTAGAAGTAGCATTTTGAAAGTATTTCACAGAAATTTCTATTTTTAGTAACCATGGCAACAACGCTAAAAAACATAAATCAATTAAAAGAATTATGTATCTCAGTGTAGTCTACTTGTGTGCCAAGTTATACTGAAATCAGACCAAAAATGTAGGGGGAGTAACATTTGGAAAATATTTCACAGAAATTTCTATTTTTAGTAACCATGGCAACACCGTTCATCACAATCAAAAGCCGATGTATTACATTATGTATTTTAGTGTAGTCTACTTGTGTGCAATGTTATACTGAAATCAGACCAAAATGTAGGAGGAGTACGAATTTCACATAAATTTCTATTTTAGTAATCATGGCAACACCATCAAAAGTAGATGGACTAAATTATGTATCTTAGTGTAGTCTACTTGTGTGTCAAGTCATATCGAAATCAAAAAGCAGAATTTATTCAAAATTTTATACATGATAAAAGAAAAAGCATGCTATGGCCTTCAACTCGACATTTAGATATATCAACGACATATTATCAATTAACAATAGATATTTCCATTCATATGTCGACACGATATATCCCAGTGAGCTTGAAATAAAAGATACCAGAGTCTGACACATCTGCTTCATATTTGGATATTTTACTAGAAAAATGGTAATCTAAACAAAGCTTTATGATATTATGATGACCAACTTTTCATTCGTCATTTTCCCTTACTTATGCAGCAATATACCCTTATCACCTGCATATGGGGTTTATATCTCTCAGTTGATTCGATGCGTATGAGCATGCTCTACGTATGAACAATTTCTTAAGGTTTTGCCAAAGGTCAACGTGTCCAAAAATATATTTTTACAATAGCTCGAAAACCATGTGGTTTATAAAGTTCAAACTTTTACAGTTTATAAATATATCATTGATTAACATATAGAAAGTATCACTTGATAACAAATACTTAAAGAAAGTATTTATCGAGAAAAATTCTTTTAAAAATGCATATATTTTTAAAAAATACACCTAATTAATTCCGTACTTTTAGTGAAAGCCATCATTGCAGAAACAATATACGTTTATCAATGAAAGGCAAGTAAGACTTCGATAGCCTCTGGAAAGTTGTTTTCCCTGTTTATTTTGTCCAAATGTTAAGATTTGAAACCGAAAGTACATTGGAAATGGCGGATTTTAAAGGGGTCTTGTCTTTATACATGTCATGCTATCAATAACAGCCTTTCAGAGACCATTCACGTCCAACTTGCCCTTCATTGATAAACATATATTATTTCTTCAATGATGATTTTCACTAAAAGTACAGAATTAAGCAGGTGCATTTTTTAAAAATATGCAAATTTTTTGAAATTGTTTTTTCTCAAAAAATATATTTTTTTTTGTATATTTGTTTTTAAGTGATACTTTCTATCTGTTAATCAATGATATATTTATAAACTGTGAAAGTTTAAACTTTATACCTCACATAGTTTTGGAGCTGTTGTAAAAATAAATTTCTGAGCATGTTGACCTTTGGTAAAACCTTAAATGAGGTAAGTTATTGACAAACAGGTTGATGAAACAAGAGTATCAACAGTCTCGTTAGTCGCCCGCGTGGCACAGTGGTTAGAGCGTCTGCTCTTGAGTCGCGGAGTATGGAGCTGATCCTTTCGTCGCGGGTTCGAATCCACTGTGTGATGTGGAGACCGGTCCTTCGGATGAGACCGTATAAACCGAGGTCCCGTGTCGCAGTAGGTGGTGGCACAAAAAAAGATATCGATGCATTAAATTATGTACATGTACCTTAGTGTAGTCTACTTTTGTGACCAGGTAAATTGAAATCAGACCAAAACTGTAGGAGGAGTAGCGTTTTAAAGGAATTTCACAAATTTCCATTTTTAGTTACCATGGCAACACAGTTCGTCAAAATCAAAAACCTATGCAGTAAAGTATGCATCTTAGTGTAGTCTACTTGTGTGCAAAGTTATATTGAAATCAGACAAAAACTGTAGGAGGAGTAGCGTCTTGAAAAAATGTTTACCGACAGACAGACGGACGGACTCCTTACTATCGCATAGACTTTAATGGTTTCTTGATCATTAGAGCTTAAAGTAATGTGTTACATGTATGCTTATCTGAAAACGATATATGTTTCAGTCGCTAGGGCTTACTGTTTCAATGGTGGCTTTTTATCAGATTCAGCTTGTCTCTTCATGATTCCGTTCATGATTATGATTTAAATGGCTAGTTATCAAACATTTCAAATTAAACATAACCTCTTTCCGACTACAATGTTCCACATCCTCGTTTACGCTTTTTCCTGACATAAATCGAATCTTTTTCTTTGAAAATGAATATACAATTAACGTCTCTGAACTATTCTTTTGCACCCGAAGACCGATGACTGATATTTTTAAAATCAACACCTATTATTATTAAATTCTATTGCTTTCTTTGTTTGTTTTATCAAAGATAATTAGGAAATAATCTAATGACATGGTCTGATCATCAAAGGATCTTTATGTCCCAGAGAGAGCACTGTTCTATTCTGATTGTTGTTGAGTAAGCAAATGTATCTTAAAGTACACACTTTTTCTATAAACTCTTTGGCGGAGATAATTAACATCTTCTTTTAGGTAAATTAGATCTATTTATATCGATGAAAAAAACTTCGAGTAGATCAATCTTTATTCCAAAAGGGGAAGGTGAAATATCGATCTTTCCATGAACCAATCCACGAATCAGATTAGTTGCTGTGCATGTGAATTTCACGTAGCGATAAATTCAATATGTGGTTAAATGCATTGCCAATAGGCAAAATTAACTTTTTAAAAGAAGAGTGGTGCAATTCACTATTTAGAAAAAAAATAATGTTCATTTGGTTTACAATAAACTTGATAATTTGATTCTCTATGAGCAAAATTACAAAGAAGAATGATTATAATTAATAGCTCAATTTTGGTGATTTAAAAGTATAGTTTCCCAACAAAAAGTAACCTTCTTGAAACTGTCATGTAGAATTAACTTGTTTTGTGTAATAATTTAGTTTCAAGGTGGAATGTTTTTTTTTTTTTTTTTGTTTTTTTTTTTTTTTTCAAATCTAACATATTTTATTGTCTTGCATGGTGCAATAGTTTCTTTTCAGTAATCGGGAGTTTGAATTTGAAGATTTACTGCTCGAGAAGCTTTAACTTCTTAATGAGAAGTCGTGTTATAATAAAGTTTATTGCATTGGAACTAAATAAAAATTACGACAAAAAAAAATTCTATGATACATGTAGTTCAAATTTTAATTGGTTTCTTCCATAACTGAATATTGGGAAACGTCAGTGCTAATAAGCACATTCAACATGTACCCATGCAATAATGGAGAGAATATACATGTACAAGCGCTTATCTTTTGTCTGAATTAGACTTATCCTACTTTTACACTCGAAACTTTATGCTAATGTACCTATAACAGTTTTAAGTATATTTTCTACTTATTTATACAATTGTTCCCACCCTGGGACCTTATAGTTACTAACGTGTCTTATTGAAAGTTTAGCATACATAAAACCAGAAATATCTTCCTTCTTGAGATTAATATTTTTCCTACATAGTTTTTTCGATTAACATTTGAAATGCAAAAAGTTCTAAGCGAAAATGTATTACATCTATTTATTTTGGGTGGAAATTTACAAACATATACATTACAATATCAAATGAGAATCCCCAATATATGTATATAAAGATAGCGACTTACAGCGCACAGCAATAAAAAGAAAAAAGGTCCTTTCAATTCAATGATGATAAAGTAGAACTTGTCGTTCGTTTCCCTCATAAACAGCTCTGCCAATGTCAAAGGTTTTATAAGATTCTTGTATAATTTATATAGCATATATTATTCTTCAATGAAACAATCTAAATCTTTTTCTCTCGATTGATTTCTTTTATCATGTATTTAATATACAACTTGCAAAATGATTTTCTCTGCAAAAAAGGAACAAATTTCGGAATCCCAATTTTGATTGAGCACTATGATGAAACGTAACGTTTGCTCTATGTTTCAGTTATCCAGTTCATATGTCAATTTTCTAGTTTTAAAAATTCAGTACAATAGCAATAACAAGCGAGACGAGAACAAAAAAATGTCACTTTAAGCCGTTTATGTTTAGCTAGTTTATTTATGTAGCAAAACAAATCAAATACAGTGGTTATTGGAGCGGAGTTTTTTGATACTTGCTTTGTGGAGAAATGATTTTTTTTTTTTTAATCTAATTAACGATCAAGATCATTTATCAAATTACCGGAGACGTTTACAGAGTACATGTATATGTGAGTGAAAGGAAAAAGATAAAGTATTCAGGGACATGAAAGCATATTATTTTATATGTTCACAATAAGCATTATTGATCAGATATAAATACTAAACGTTTGTATTCTTTGTTAAAGGTTTTGCCGGAAGCGACATTTTGGATACTTTGTTGTCTACGTTGCTGCGTCCAGATCAATCAGGTCGGGCCCCGACCTCCCGCCCCCGCGGCCGTCTGAGTGTTCAAGCCAGTTTTGCAATTCTTCGAAATCGGATGCAGAACGAAGGCTGACAGTTTTGGAATCTTGAGGAACTTTGATCTGATATTTATTTTTTAAAGTTTTGTTGTTGTCTGTTATTCATTACGTGTTACAAAATGATTGTCTGCATTTGAAACTTATTTCATATTATTTATTTACATTCATTACGTTTTCTTTTTTCATATCAGAATATAACACTTTCGTATTTTTGCATAATTTAGTATTTTTGAACTAATTAACAGACTTATTTTTGTCTTTACTCCTTTAAAACGAAAAGTTACACAATTACGAAAGTTCCTCACAATGAACATTGAATCTTTATAGAATTGAATGGACAGACCATGTTGATGACACCCATTTTCTCTTTTGACGCATATTTCATTTCGTAAAGCTCAATTCACAGTTATATCCCCACCTCCCCAAAAACGATGAATTAAAATCTATTAAAAAAAAACAAAAAAAAAAAAAAAGAAAAACAAACAAACAAATACCCTGACTAAGCTCAGACATATTTCAAAGGGTTTTTATGGATATTAAGGATGCAATTCACTAATTTACAATTTTCAATTGTTAATGAGTACTTGACTTATTATAATTAGCTACATGTATCTACTCATTCACAATTTAAAATAAGTGAAAAGACTGTGTTTCGCATTATCTTTCTCAAGGAAGTAGACGGTTGGTAATGTAACAGAACATATACTTTTTGATACTTAATACAGTAAAGATGAATGACTATTTGGGTTTTTGTTGATGTTCCTTATCTTGCAAATAAACATACAAAATAACATTTTTTTTTTTACTTTTATGAACACCTTGGCGATTTGCACCTAAGACTTGGGACTCGATCGTATTTTGAGGGACTCTAATATAAATATCTCAGGAAAGTAGTTGTGAAACATCTGCAAGTGACCCCCAGCAGAGACCCAGTTGTAAAAGGGATACTAGTATATTGAACAATATCGTGACGGGTTTAAAACCCATAAATCAAATCACAGAGTATATCTGACAACAGCCTAAAAGAACTCATACAATCATGTAACTTAGTATAATATGCTACTTCGTATAAATAAATTGTACTCTAACCTTAAAATTTACTTTGAGATCGATTTGGAGAGATAAACCTCCAAATCGAGGAAATTGTGTCTGTTCTCTGTTGATAAATATCGCTGTAGCGAATCCTACTATGACAATAAAATAAATTTTGAGTACAGAAACAGGTGCTAAAGTGGGTGGGGTTATTTTTTTTCAAGATGGCAGCTTATATCCCTTGTAGATCGTATAGATGTTGTACGTTTATTTTAAACATGGTCCTTCTTGCCTGAAAGTGTGAAAATATGGAAACACAGGAGAGTCATCTACCAGAAGGAAATAGGAAGTGCGTCTCCTAACAACCTCCCCCCCCCCCCCAAGATTTTCAGGTTTGGGTAATTTGTTACAGTTGATGTACAGCTCCTCCCACTCCTCTGAAAAAAAAAATCATGGATCCGCCCCTGAAATTTAATTTTTAATCTACTTGTATCAAAAACTACAAATAATATTGGCCATATTGGGGTCATACTTAATTACAAATACCGGGGAAATTAGCTTGCCAAAGATAATTCTTTAGTCCTTGTTTTAATTTCGAAAAAGCGAAGGGACATTAAATCTAATTCGTCTGGCTGTCCCTGCAGCTGCCTGTCTGTCCAAAAAACTTTTAAGATAACTTTTGAATGAGAAATAACCTTAAAAGCTTTTATATTATAGGCGATATACTTCGATTTTTGACCCCATTACCTTGACCTAGTAGTGTGACCTATTTTTAAAACAGTTTTACAACGTTCATAAATTTAATTGAGAGAAGATAAGGTATTAATATTTCACGTATCTTTGCATTACCTGTGACCAAACCTTTCAAAATTTACTATGATTTTCGACTTCATGACCTTGAGCTTGGTATTTAAGCTACTTTAAAAGATAACACTGGTAATAGTTTTTGAATGAAAGAAGATGGGGTCTTTATATTTTTTTTTACATGTATATTACCTGTGACAACACCTTTTAGAGAAGTTTTTGAACCTCATACATAGAAGTTTGATCTACTTTTCAAAAGTTATAACTTCAAAAGTTGTATGAGAAGAGACAGGGCTTTCATAACTTTTCACAAGTGCATTAATTGTAATAATACCTTTCAGGATGTTCTATACATGTATTTGACCTCATGACCTTGAAGTTTGATGCAAATTTAAGATTTTTTTTTCTTGTCCTTACTTTTTTTTTGTTCAAATTACTCAACAATTTAATTTTTTTTTATGATTAACAGACAAGAAGACAGCCTCGGTATGCAAGAAATTGATTTCCAACCAATAAGACCCCGAAAGCGGAGAAACACAATTCTCTTGGTGTGTTTTCTATTTCAAGAGCTTTTTTACAGGGGGTGGGGTAGGGTGTAAATGCCAACTAAGAGGCCCAAGGGCCTTAACGGTCACCTGAGTACAATCCAAAGAAGTATTAAATACAACAAACTGATAGAATGCCCAAAAGCAAGAGAAAGAGCAATAGCTGCCTTACCGACGACATCGCCGACTTAAGAATTTAAAAAGAAATCCCCTGTTTCTATTTATACACATACCTTTTCAATTCAGTACAACGTATATAAATACCATCTTTTGTGTTATAATTTCATAGGTGCAAGTATATCACATAACAATCACGTTCATTACTCTAAATTTGAGACAAAAATTTTTAGATTTAGAAAAAAAGTAAAAATAAATCAATTAGCTATGAATTTTCAAAATATAATGAAATAGTTTAGAACTGTCTTTTCCCGAGATAGTTTTAGAAAAGATGCACAAAGAAAAAAAAATAAAAAGGCACAAATTGAAAATGCTGGGGTCCAACTCGGAGTCTACAAGTACCTGACCATTAAGAACTATAAAAGTACATCATAACCATGCACCTGGTTTAACTGCTAATTATCCAGAAGATTTTCAAAGAATTTATATATTTTAACAATATAAATAATTAGAGCCCCGCCCAAACGCTAAAACCCCTGACCCAAGGGCCATGAAATTCAAAATTTTAGAACAGGCACTTGCTCATCATAACCATGCACTTTTTTTAACTGCTTAATACTAAGAAGCACATAAGAAGATATTCAAAGAATTTCTGAATTTTCATTATTTAATCAAAAGAGCCCCACCCTGACCTAGAACCTCTGACTCAGGGGCCACCCTTGCTTATCATAGCTATGCATTTAGTTTCTATGCTTAATACCTAGGTGCAGATAGTTTTCAGAGAATGTATGCATTTTCACTATAATCAAAAGCGATTTTATTTATAATATTGAAATAGGCTCCCCTGCTCATCATAACTATACATTTAGTTTGTTTGCTTAATATGCAGGAGCAGAAAAGAAGGTTTTAAAAGAAAAAAAATGCATTTTAACTACATAATCAATAGGGCCTCCCAAATACCAGAACCCCTGACCCTGGGGTCATGAAATTGAAAATTGAGGAAGGGGCCCCCTGCTGATTATAAGTATGCACTACACTGTAAATATGTCTTCAAATACACATGAAAAAAAATTCAAAGAAATAATGCATTTTCCCTGTATGATCAATAGAGCCCCATCCTAACTCCAGAACACCTTACCCAGAGGCCATGAATGTACAATTAGGTCTATGAAAAGGTTCGGGAGATTTTCAAACAGGACAAAGGGATATTATTGCTTACGAGGGCTATTTAAAAAGTTTTATCCTTTGTCCTTGAAATAAAAAAAAAATTGAGCATGAATTCATTTGCATTTCTTTATTTTATTCCTTCAAAGTACTCTTAAATATATATATATATTTATAGGCAGACCCTTTACAAACTTAGTGATGGCGGCTCCAAGTTCTAGAGTTATAGCGTCTTCCAGCTTAAAGTCTTTGAAGTGTTGAGAACAGAAACCATTTAGATCTGGAGAGTAAGCAGGGTGAAGGATGACAATAACCCCCTCTTTACTGAGACAATCTGTGATTAATTTTGACTTTTGGGCTGAAGCATTATCATGCAACCATAAGAGACCCTTAATGCAAGTTTTGGACGTCTGTTTTGTTTAAGTCCATGCAAAATTGATTGAACCTTTCTCATCTTTCGAATAACACTGTTCTTCTTCGGAATAGGTAACTGCAACACAACATCTTATCTATCAAAGAAAAAAGCATAGAGAATCTTTTTTGTGCTCTGAAAACGTTTGGCAATAACTGAACACTTTCCATGTAAAATCCTTAGTTTATTATAACTTTCTTTGCACCCACGTTTCATCCCCTGTTACCAAGTCTGAAAATTGTCGAGGTTTCCTCTTTTTGAGTAGTTAAATTATTTTTTTTTTTCGCACAATAAACACTGTTAGCCTTCTGTTTCTCAATACCTTATGAGTGAAAAATTATCAAGAGGGACGTTAAACAACACCGTTTCTCATTCAGTAAATGAGGTATCCATCTTGCAGAGATCTTTCTGTATCTTGTCTCTTGTTCATATTTTACAAAGCGCTCCTTTTGATATCTTTACTATACGAACTGTCCTTAACAGTGTAACCCCCCTCTACCAAATCTTCATATGTTAACTCGATATATCCCAGTGACCTTGAAACTAAGATCTCAGAGTCTGACACATCTGCTCCATATTTGGATATTTTACGAGAGAAAAAAAACCCTTATTAGTAACTTTGAATTGTCTACAGATTTTTCCGTTTTCCCGATCATGACAAGGAGCACACGGCGGGTGTGACGGATACACAGGGGACGCGCATTCCTCCGTGGCACCTGATATCCCACCTCTGATGTTTCAGAGGTCCGTGTTTGTTCTCCTCCTGATTTATATTGTTTCAGTGGTCTTTACTTTGATTACTGTTCGTAATCTCCATACATCAGTCAGCAAGCTTTTTCCATTACTAACCGTTTTGGTATACATCATCTATGACACTTTCTCTTTCCTCCTTATTTTTTTTCAACCACTTGGAAATTGTTCTATATGACGATTCTTCGTCTCTATACAAATAGTGTTTCTTTTGCTGATTTTTTTAAACTTAAGCAAGTCTTTTATGTAGTTTCTTATTTCCATTGCTGTAGTTAACATACTGTACGTGTACATAAATTGGCGTATTCAAAATTTAGCGCAATCACTAGGTATGGAGTTGTTGGCGAAATCATGAATAAGCGCTATACATGTCCGTGCCGTATATTGTGTTAATAAATGAATTCTTGGCGGTATTCATGAATTAGCGCATTGGTGTCTGCGTCAAGGCGACTAAAATATGAAGCCCGCTTTTTTAAGTACACATACACTATTTCCCATTATAAAGCAACATAGTATCAAGTGTAGGGTATTTTCAATTCGCAATTCTTTAAAAACTCAAACGATTCTTTTTTCTGCAAGGACGCTGTGGTAGATAAATAATTATAGAACCGTTACAAGAGTATTTGAAGGGATCTACATTCAATTTTTATTGGAGGATTGGGGAGGGCAATACTTTTTGAGTGACCCTCGTACCAAGGGAAAGATTGATCGTACCCCAAACTGAGGGTCTTGGGATTTTCTTCCCAAAGTGTATACATGTAAAAAATAATGTACGGGGTCTAGTGGGAAATATTAAATGATATTATTTTGTCTTTTTGTCAGTCTGTTTGTGTAAGCCAATGAAACAAATGTTTGCAAAGAGTTTATTAACTGAAAGTTGTGAGTCGTAAAGCTGATCGTATAGTGGCTCTCAGCGTCCCTCCTGAAGTACGCCGTATTTTATAAGGAACATTACATAATACTCATTTA